GTGTCAGTTTTACAGCCAGTCCTTATTGCCATTAAGAGGTATATCATCATTTTTACACCTAAGTTTATCAAGTAAGATTTTTTTTTTTGATTTATTGATCAATAAGGAGCGGTCTGCTGTACCTGTCCCCATTCCGCAAATGTTAGAGTGGAGATCTTGTTTTTAGTTCTGTGTCTGCTCACAACAAGTACTTATCAATATTGTACAGAAAACTTTCAGTCTTTGTCACTGCTGATGTGAGTTGATGAGCTTGTTTTTCTTGTCTTGGATAGTACTAGATAACTTGGCTTAGAGTTTACTGGATAAAGAACCTTTTTTTTACATATACAAAAAGTCATTGGCATTCATAACATTTGAAGGGTGATGTAGTGCAAATGTGAGCCTGTAAAATCCTGCTTTATGGTGGAAAGACAATCCAGCAAAGTCAGTATACAGTAGTAGTGATTTTTATCCATGAACAGCCAAGAAACTAAAACAGTTATGAAGGGAATAGGTCACATAGTGATTTTTCCTGAATTGATTTGTGGTGGGTACATTGGGAGATGTACATATATATTGTGCATGCTGAATGTCAAATTGAAGAAAAAATATATGTTACATACATTTTAATGAGTTCAGTACCATCTTTTTTCAGGGGATATATTTTGTCAAACAGGAATATGGAATGTGGATTTAGGTTTCAAATAGAAATGTCATATTATTGTTTTAAAACAAGGGTGTTTTGTCTGGAGTGTTGGATAATGGGATGCTTTTGGGTAACAGCCATTTTGGTTGACATGGAATTTTTCCGTTGGTTTCTTTGGAATGATGATTCATTCATGATAATGGTGAAAGGGACACCTGACCACATGGAATTTTTTTGTTTTTGAAGAAATCTTCCTGGCTAGATAGCCTGTCATTTTGTTTCAATGCATGTTTTGTCTCTTTTGGGAAGTTTTGGATTATAAAGTAACATGCATCTCTGCTCAATGAAAATGTCAGGAATAAAGATGACAGTGGTTTTTAAAAAGTCCCTTTATTTTTCTTAGGAATGATGAAGTGAGACACAGTTGGTGCTGAAGAGATGTTGAAGAAACCAGCAAAATTTATTGATCCTGTTTATTGATTTTTTTTTCATTTAAAATGTTGACATAAGTATACTGTCCTGTTTAACATGTAGGCATACTGAGTGCCGGATATTAGTATATGTTATAATGAAAATAATTCATTCGGTTATAATGTTGTGTGTGAAGTTTGTCTTGGAGAGTTCCACTAAATGTTGTACACGAAATGTATTGTGCACTTGATGTAGATTCATATTGTTTGAATACTGAGGTAAATAAAAAAAAAAAAAGCAATGGAAGTCAGGCTCTGACAGGAAATGGATAACATGTACAAGTGGTTTCACCAAAGATTCTTAGAAATGAATATGGAATGAATGTAGTTATTTCTATCTATCATTGACAAATTTAACACATGACTGGACAGTTGAATTTCACCATTTAGTTTTGATTTGTTTGTGGCATTTCTTTCCTAGATAATCAAGGGTGGTATTTCCAGACTACCTTCTAAAGTTGGTTAGGAAGTTGGAAACAGATTGAATTATCATGTCTGTAGTATTGTTGCACTTTAATAGTGTCTCAGTAGATTGGATTCATCAGTAGATTATTTGAGGAGTGGAAAAATAACATCATATCTATTAAGCTAGTTGTACATTGGAATACATTTGAACTTGTGCCATGAACTAGAGTTTCTCATGGTCTCTGTCTCAAAAAAAAAAAGTGCTAAATCTATTCAACTCACTTGAAACACTAGATGACATCAGCCTAGCCACACCAGATTCTTTTTCAAAGGCTTAACATCTGGCCTAAAAAGTTGATTTACCAAAATCGACTTTAGTCACTACTGAATAGAAAACAGTGTTGAGACATTTTGTTCTTTGTGTTAAGGTTTGGACTGAAAAAGGTAAAAGATGTGGATGTCCTATAAAAATTCTCTTGTAGTCTTATGTTAGCTGATATTGTTTCCCAACTTATGTGTATTTGTGAAATGGGTCCAGTTTAACATAAAGATTAAAGTCAAAAGTTGATCTCAATTTTAAGACTAACATTTTTGGTCTGCTTTATATTTGGTGTAGTAGCAGGCCCATAGCCAGGGGGGGTTCGGGGGTTAGAAACTTTTCAGAGAAAGACCCCCCTTTGTAATTGCTGGGTACAGGCCTGAGTACTCGTCTGTTTTACAAGAATTGTAAGAGGCTAATGTTTAAGACTGACAGCCTGGTAAACCACCCTTGATTTGTCTCGGGTCAAAGTAGACTATAAATTCTTCAGTCTGGAGTTAGAACCCGACTTCCAACTTGAGGTGATGTGTGAAACAGGTCCATGTCTAGGAAAATGTATTGGGAATGGCTTCAGGTTTCTGTTCAGACAGTGCTAGGTGTCTCTCTGGTAACTGGTCAGCTAATGACACAAGTCAGGCTCATTTTGCGATCTAAAATGATTCAGTCTAAACAATGCACAGTGTTGGTGGTTAACATCGAAATCCGACAGTAATTGTCTTCTGGTTGTAAGACACCTGCGCCATGTTGCAATGGTGAAAACTCATCCAAAAGGGAATTTTCCCCCTTTTCCATTGTTATTCAATCATTCTGAATAATAGCTACATTCAGATTGTGTGTATTATGTGCAAATGCATTACATAGTATGATAAAATATTTATAAGTTGGTTTAAAGCAATTATCCATAAATACATATAAACCTATATTACCATATCAACATGTGACAACATAAATTATGGGATAATTTTATGGTTGATCATCAGGTTCATTTAATGTAGAATTTAGAAAACATTCAGAATTCATGAGCGTCGTAGTATATTTTGGTGAGGTCCAAAACATATATTTCTCTTTTAGGGTTTATTAATAAACAGTGATGTATAGATTCCAGATTAGATTGATCTTTAATAGTGCATGAAATGTGCTTTAACATTGATTGCTATCCTTAAAAAAAGGTAATGATGTAAGAATGTATGTTTTATATAATGGCATGTGTAATTAAAGATGGAAGATATAAGGATAAAGGAGCAAAAACCCTAATTATCTCAGTATTTGAATCATAGATGATGATAATTAAGCATAAGCTACAAGTAACAACTCACATAAGTCTGATGAAGGCTTACATTCATGTTGGCTACAAGCTCATGGTAAGACAAAATTTTTCAGCTTGTACTTAATAATTATCATCATTCTGTATGTGAGAATATTTTAACAGAATTTTCTGGAATGTATCAGGAATGACCATTAAAGAAACCTTTCTTTTCTGATATCTGTTTGGTTTGTTAAAATATAGTTTAAAAAGATATATTTTAAAGAGATGTATAGTTGGAAAGAAAGGCTTGCAGATCATGTTATTTCACTATGTCAATAGCCTGTGTAATCAAGAGGTTGAATTTATCTAGATTTAATGAAATCATTATTCCCACTTTGAATAAAAATTATTAATGAGCTGTTAAACTGCTGCTACAGTCCTGTTTTGAACACTTTTGTAAAACCTTTTGATATTTGTGATCTTGACTGTCTGAAGCCTTTGTATATAGCATTAATCCTTTTGTATGTCAGAGCAAAGAAGCTTCTTATGGCAGAATGAATGCGTGATGGATCCATCAATGCCTTGTGAAGCACTAGTACTAGCTAATAATTGAGTTGTTACATATTCACATGGAGAAACATATGTTTTATAGGAAGTGAATGGTTGAGATATTGACTCCCATGGGTAAGATAATTAATGTGTGTGGAGATCTGCCATATTGCAGTTGAGCTGGAGGGGTAGTGGGGTCTGGGATGCTCATTATGGTGATCACTGATCTGAAATAACACTTTATTGCTGCTCACCTGTCTCACCTGTCAGCGATTCTGTGTGTGGAATGTTTGCCTGGTTGTATCTGTTAGAAAAGTGCCAATGCAGTGTTTACATGTCAGCAATAATAGAGACCATTCCCACAGATATTTAGATCGATAAACCAGCTTTAATGTCTGTCCCACCTACTAAAAGCTGTAAGGGGATAATTAACTTTTGTGCGCGCTCGGCTCCCGGAAGCTGACAGCAATTTAGCATGAACCCCCAGGGAGTTAGGTCGATCCAGATGGATCGATCTAAATCTGTGGAAACCCGGTCGCAGAGAACTGGGAACATTCCAGGAATGTGCCAGAGGTAGGACTTGGCTTGTGTTTAGGCTATGAAAAAGCAGGTATACTGCATTACCCCCATGTAGGCATTTACTAAGTATTTTAAATGATCATAAAGCATAGAACACCTTCAGTAGAATGTTTGGCTTAAGGATGCCAATTTCTGGTGGATTTTGAAGTGTTGTAAAGGTTGATTGGAGACTAGACGATTTGTCTTAGATTATTTCAGTTATATGTTTTAAAAGATGACTACCAATAAGGAGGGATGGAATGGGTTGAAATAATACAAAATCTTTCTGCAGAATCACAGAATTCTGAGATATTTGACTAAATTCTGGGCCTGACCCATGGCTGAATTTGAAAATATTAAGTCCGAGATTATTTTTAAAACTTAGGCCCATGATTTGAAAATAGAATGTCTAAAATCCTTATGGGACTGTGTATGAGATTAACAGGTTCTCAAGCTCTTAAGAAAACCTCATAGAGTATCTTTAAGTCTGACAACATATTCCATTTGGCTGTAATAACCCAAGAAATTACTTATAGAGGTGCTGATGATTTCTCTCTGTCTAATTGCCCTTGCCCTCCAGTTGTAGGTTTTGACGTAGTTTTGCACCTTATCCTGGAATAGATGACACCTGCCCCTGAGTACAGCACATTATACTGCTGCTGAACAGCAGCAACCTGTCATGAGGGAACAGTTTTAATGGGCTATAATTGTTCAATTTATAATGCTGGGAGTGAATAAAGCGGAACATTTTTTGGTCAGGCTGATAATTACATTTAACAAATTGGTGGGGAAGAAAGTCAGTAGGAGAACAGTGGCAAAGCAGAAAATTGAGAATTGCTTGTCAAGGTTTATTGCTTTTTTTTTCACAAAGAGTGTGTTCCTGAGAATCCATTAGGTTTCAAAGAAGTTGTTGATAGCAATTATATTTCTGTATTGCGTCAGTTTTGGAAGTCACTCAGATTTCTGCACTTGGTAGATATTTGCCCTTACTGTGGCATTTAATGTCGAAATGCAATAGAAGATTCTGCTTCTAAGATAGATATGCTTTTTAACATGTTGTGTATCTATACCATGGCAAAGTCAGCAATCTTAAAATTCATAGTTTTCCCTGTTGAAAAGTTCAAGTCATCACTACATGTGCCAGAAGTCAGCACTGTCTAAATGAAAAGAGATTTTCAGCATTTCGCTTGGCTGACAGCAATTTAGCGTGAACCCCCAGGGAGTTAGGCCGATTTAGATGGATCGATGTAAATCTGTGGGAATGCAGTCTATATGCCTAATGGCTGTTCTCTTCTATTTTGAATAAAGAAATAAATATCTTTGCTCAGCAAAAGAATGTGTGTCTGTCATGAATGCACATCAATGCTTAAGCCATACGAAGAATCTAATGACTTTAAAAAGATATATGTCCAAGTATGGAGTTCACTAGATGAGTGACAAGCTCTGTACAATTGTAAAGATGCGTGAAGAACATTTTTTAGACAAAATTTTCCATACAGTCCATTTAACATTATCTAAAAGGATTCCACAAAGAGTGATGATTCTGTAAATAATTGGATTCTGCATAACATATTGATGTTTCCGAGGATAAAGATGAAACCCTTGACTTGAAACAAGTATTTGTGACGTGATGATGCATGGTGTGATGCACTTGAGTCTGTTTTCCAGTATGAGTTAAGCGATGCATATAATATAGATGAATTCTTCCTTCCATTTCAGGTTCAGCTAAATCAGTCCATTACTGGCAGCATTTTGAATAGAATCCAATACTCTGCTTGTTATTGCGCAAGATGCAGTCTCCTAAAGATATTCCTCAGAAGCATTCAGTGAACGATTCCCCAGGAGGCCATCACCCAGGATCCCCTGTTCAACATGGCCATTTCCTCATCCCCAGCCCTATCATTACAAGGAGAATGAGGACAAATTCAGTGTAAGTAAATGTGATGATGATGACTTTGTCTTATTTAATTTGGCCCCAGCAATTTGATGTGTGTAAAAGCTGCTATAGTTTAACTTTTAGGAATAACTGGTGACAAGACATTTGGTCTAGTCACAGTATTTTGATAGAAGATATCCATAGTTTATACAGTGATACAGAAACTTTATGTGAAAAGAGAGACATGTGTCTCCTGTTTCATAAAAATATGAGACACAAGGTTCAAAACAAGGGACACATCATAAACACCATTTTTTATTTCCATAAAACAAGTTTTATTCTTTAAAAAAAAAAAACATTTGCTCCTTGAAACACTCTTAGGCATGATTACCAGAAGTGCCATTATTAATGTCATGTCAATGTCGTAATGTCAATAAAGTAATGTAATGTCATTACACCACAAATGACAAGTATGTTGATGGCAATGTGGTCAAACAGGAATGGGCAATACTGAAGGAATTGGTCCTGGCAAACACTTACAGCTGTGACAGTATGAAAGAACTCTAGGCAATTATCAACGTATTTCATAAGGAGCAGCCTTGCTATATCAAAAAATCAACAAAATCTGGGTACTTGGATGTTGCTATGTCCTGCTTTGCCAAGAAATATATTGTTCGTAGAGCATGGATTATGGCACTGTCGTTCTCACTAAACTGATTTTTTACCATTCTCGATAGAGTTGACCTTGAGATTTCATCTTGTACCGACTGGCGATGGTCAGCTGCTGAAGCATGCCGCTCCAAAGTCGCGGTTCTGAAGTTGCTACAGCCTTCAGTAAAAACGTTCTTTTTTTAACTTTTTACACATAGTGTGCAAAACATATGGTTGTCTTTGTGTTCTAGCCATGCCCATTTAGATTTCCAAGCTTCATTGAACACTCGTTTGACACGTTTTCGAGGCAAACAAGCAGCCGACTGGTCACGAGGTTCAGTTTCACTGTCACTTTGCTCCGCCATGTGCGAGGAGGAAAATTGCGATGAATGCAAAAAGAAGCATGATTCGCTAAATTCGCAAGCGTTGCTAAGCGCTATAACTGAAAGGTGCGATGTGATTGGCTGTTGAGTCCCACTCAGTTTCAGGTGATATTGCGCACTCACTGAACGATTTTTACTTTGTTAAACTGTTTGGATCATTCCTGATTTTTATTAAATTTGAATATATACGTATTTTTCTGATTTCCTGGTCGCAAAGGTGATGCTATTTATGCGACAATGGCCTCATGTTTGGTCGCATTACGATCGTTTTTTATGAGACAATAATGAAATTTATGGGTCAAATGTTGCAAAGTCGCGCCGTTTCTGTATCGCTGTTTATATATGAATTAATAGAACATTCTTTGTATTAAATGTAGTTCTCTTGTGGATGAAGAGTTTGTGACCTTCATGAAATGTAGATCTACCAATCAGAATGTTGTCATAGGAACAGCATATATTAATTTTTGTATTGAAAAAAATCCAGGACATGACTTTTTCTTGTCCCCTGGGCGAACAGCAGTGTGAAGCTACTGCTAGTAATCATATATTGATAACACCAGTCTTTTACCTGCTTACTAGTAAGCAGTATGTTTTACACAAAAACAAAGTCCAGAAATTTTATTTGGGATGAGTGTCATGGGGATATACTATATATCATAATATGTACCTACAGTTACCTGAAAGGTATACCAGATAAAATTCTTTTCTTTTTGCTCAATCAAACTGGACAATTTCAAGTGATTAGTGATATTTAAAGGTCAATTTTTCGGAAAAGTTAATGTATATGATGATAATGTATCTGCTTTTATAGTGATTCTATTCTAAGGGAATTGGATCTCATTGACTTGGAGAACAGGGATATTTACCTTTTAGCTTATGGCATTTCTGAACATAACTTTCCTTCTACACTTTTGCATATAATGTTTATAGTGGTCTGCGTTCTGGGATATTCTGCAAAAAAAAAAAATAAAAATAAAAAAGGTGAAAAATAGTGATGTAGTCTCTATTTATTGATCACAATGATTCATTTTCTATGACCCGTGGTGTTAAAAAAAGGAAAAAAGCTATGATCACAATTTTATGGGTATATCATTTGATTGCTGTTCTTGGAACTGTGCTCTGGAAACTATCAAAACTGTACCGTGATTAAGTTGGTTCTGAAATCTTCCTCATTCCACCAAGGCACTACAGATTACTTTTATTCAAAGCTGAAATAAAAAATGACTTTGATTTATCAGAAATGAGAACATACCGGAAATGGGAGAAGTGTGTGTTTCAAGAAGATTGAGCTCGTTAATAAAATACAGATATGGATCAGACAATGGTGGGCAGAAAAACGGTGGGGAGAAGACAACAGTAATTCGAAGTTAAAAGTCTAAAACACTAGTTCATTGCTGAACACATTGGCAATGTGGATCATAAGCACCTAGTGACTTTCAACCCAAATTATGTCTTTGATCTTTTAATGACTATACTTGATGATAAATTAGATCTCAATCATTACACCTGGTAATCGTGGAACTGTGTTTAATCAAATATCAATTTTGTAACCGACCACTAGCAGACCCTGAGTTAAGAGTGTAACCAGTAAAAGAACTTGAATCAAAGGTTGGTCATGAATAAAGAAAGCCAAAGAATTTGGCCTGGGATAAATTGATAGCAATCCATGTAGATGAAAATGTGGGACTGGATTTGCTAAAGGTAAGAAATTACTTAGGTTTTAGACCATTAGACATTATTTTACTTTACTACTATATGTTTATTCTAGAATGAAGTAGGTACAGAATATTTAGTCTTCAACTTAAGATCAATGTTCAACCTAAGTTTGCTTGGGAAGTTGTCCTGACAGAAAGTGCTTGAAAAGTTGTTTTGCATTTTTTCTCGTTGTAAGTGCAGTGTTTCACTTCAGTCTCTGAAGTGGTTTTTTCATATTCTTTTCGTCATTACTAATGCATAACAATAATATGAGAGGAGCTAACCATTAGGCCAAACTTGACTAAATCAGATACATATTTTTTATCCATCTTTGCATCCCACCAAGGCCTTTGGCCTCCGGTTACAGTAATTATCACTATAGTTTAACTCCTTTACAATTTCATTTTAAAAATGTGTAGTACCAAATAATAGTTTACATTTATAAATATATCTCAGTTTTTAGTTTCTCTAATTGTCGCGTAGCAATTAAACGATTGAATTAAGTGAAAGTTCTCATTGACAGAAAGGAATATTAAACAAAAAAGCAGGGATGCTTTTGTCAATATAGGAGTGCCTCAAAATAATCAGCCAGTGCTGCAATAAAGACCAATCTGGTTATTAAGGCAGGAAGTATCATATCAGCCCTGTCTCTTGAGAAGATGTGAAGAATGAATAGCTCTGCGATTACAAACAGCTCAATATGTAGTCTGGCTGCTTACTGCATTTAAGCATATTTAGCCCTGGAAATAAAGGAAAGGGCACTTAGCAATTTCCATTGAATGTCAGTTAAAAGAATGGGATTTCAGTGTATGGCTTTACACGACTTGCTGTGCCTTGTGTGTTATAGTTTTAGATGGATCTTATTTTTACCCAGACATTTTTAGGAGGGAATGGGTAAAGAGCGATGTTGGCAATGGAAGTAGTCTGGCTGTTGCCATCAGTGTTGTTTGTGTTTTCTTGAGTGCCTAGCCCCTGGAGAACAAGTGTAGAAATAATTTCAAAGAATTTAAAATTTCAGAATTGTCATTAGACTCAATATCTTAAATGGTGTCAACAATATGACTTTGAAATTTTTATTTTAAGTAATGAAGCACATGTTGTGAATGGATGACTTCAGCAGCTGACTAGGTAATGTTTCTTAATACTCTGATGGAATTAAGGTGTGGTCTTAACAGTCTAATTGTGACAGCTTGATGTTGTAACAGATCACATTAAAAAAAGGGATGAAAGAAGGGGATGGGTGCATGTCTGACCCAGAGTACTGAATGTTGACCAAAATAGAAAATGAATGATGATGTCACACGATGAAGGGAAAGACCATATTTGTTTATCATTATGTAGTTATTTAAGATTGATACTTAAAAAATTAATGACATGTTAGGATGTTTAAAAATCCCACCTTCATAGTCTGTATGATTCTGAGTTAAGACCTAATATGTGGAACGAAAATGCACCCCTACTTACTGGGTGAGAGTTACAGGCATGTAAGAAAATTACGACAATTATCGTAGTTGCTGAAGATAAGTCCTTCAGGATTTTCTTAATGGTAAGGATGTTCTTTAATGGAATTGGTTGGTGCAATTACTTGATTACTTTTTGTGGTTTTCCCTGGATGAAGGAGTCATTTCCTTTAGCATATCTTACTCAAACATTTATGGCTATTTCTTTATTGACTTGTTGATTGGAATAGGCATCACATTTTACAGATGGTTTTAGAGTTAATATTTTTTTAATTGATCACCAAGTAAGGGAAGATAACTAATTGATGTTTAGAGATGAAGAAACACTTTATAGGTGTGGTACATATTGTACTTCCCTGAGAAGAAATATTGTACAGAAATAACTTGAAAGACAGTGCTTATATATACACCTTGCAACATTTGTCACAAAACATGAATTTGCATTTGAAAGCCATGTGAGAAATCAAAATTAATCACTCCATAAATTTGAGCAAAGGAACCACATGCACACAAGCATATGCATGCACACACGAATGAACAGTGGGAAATAGAAGATGTTATGTTGTTTTTCCAATATTTGCCTCAAGTTACTCCTTTTAAAATAACAGTATCACTAATTCATTAACTTATTCCCCTAAGCAATGCTGTACTCTTCATTTTGATGTTGTTTTGTTGAGCACAGATTTTTGAGACAGTAAAACAGCCCTTTACAAATAAAACAGCAACACAATGTACTGAACGTACTAAATCGTAGGAAGTTCTCACTCACTATCGTTCACTTACGCTCACTTACACAAGTAACCTTTCACTCTCAAGATCGATCCCAGATGCGTTGGTCTAAAACTTTACGCAAGTGTGTGCGACAGAAACCAAGTCAACCACAAGGATAAATCAACGTAATGCTGCTTTATTCAATAACTGACCAAGATTCATTACAAATACTATCTTTTATACAACTTTCTTTTATCGCTACGATCTTATGGGGATTTTCTGCTGCAGGTCTGTGCCCAATCAGCGCGCCAAAAGTTAATGGATTCTAATTTCATAATTACGTTGTCAGGAGCGTCTCTTGATCTCTGGGCGCTTCCGACAACAGGCAGGGGTACCTGCTAGAAAGTACAGTGTTTAATAACTTGTTGTCAATAATAACTGCAATCCTGCAGTTTTTTCTCTCGGTAAAACTATATTTTGATTTATTTTTATCTTTGTCTCTGGAAAATTACAGATTAAACAAGATGGTAGGATAGCTTGCATGTCACCAGTGTCCATATAATCATTTCAGCTATTCTGACAGAAACATACCAACAACACATTGCCCCAGGGCCAGGGGAGACAAAAGCACAGTCAGCAGGGCTCTGCTATGTAATTTACTATTGCGTGTTGCCATAAGACAGCAGCCTCGGCTATGTAATTTAGTATTGCGTGTTGTAGTAAATGGAGGGGCCAAAAATCATGTTATAGACCAATTTTCTGTAGTTTTCTCACACTATTTGGCACCATGTTTAAAAGGGTTAATGTACGTCAGACTGGGTGAAAGTTAAAATTGTATTTTTTTTCTTTCTATCTTCTTTTTTTATTTTTTGTTTGAAATATTGCTGGATCTGAATGTTTGGGTATACCATTCAGGTTGATAATTTTTAATTGTAGCACAACTACTCATGAAAAATTACTCTCATTTAATATTTTAGTGAAAAGCTTATTACTCTTTTCAGATATGTGTACTTTATGCCTTTGATGATGACATTGATATAATTATTTTGTCCTCTCAGGTCAGAGAGAGCCAAACAGGGTCCAGTATTGAAAGGCAAAGTGAAAAGTTTCTGCAGAACCAAGGGCCATGGTTTTATCATTCCTGCCGCAGGTGGTGAACCATTATTTGTACATATATCAGAGTAAGTACCTTTGTTTCTGTCTTATGTAAGTTTTGATTAGGGCATCCTACATATTGATTTTTTCAAAGCATGTTTCTTCGTATTGCAGTAATGGGGTTTCAAAAATGAAAAGATTAATGGGATTCAAGGGATTGGCAGACGCAAATATAAGTATAAAAAGGATCACATAATGTAGGCATGACATGGAAAATAGCTGCACATTTTTAATTGGTAGCTGAAGAGGAAAAAAATTATTCAAAGTAGCTGTGAAATTTTAATGAGAATGAGTGACAGATGCTTTCTAAATTTTTTTATCAAAAAGCTGATATATGTGGCTTTAATCTACTATGCCATGTTCATCAATTATACTTAAAAGTCTTAGTGTTTAACTTTTTGTATTATCTTTACAATGATTGCAAATCATTGTAATGATAGTAATAAACAATTTGTTCAACTGTTATCTCCTGTTTTTGATTAACACTGTTATCATGCAATTTATCAACCCCACAGAATTTATTTATATGCAACTGATTGTCATAAAATCTTGGTCCTGGCATAATTTATAAAATATTCTGTTATGCATTATTTGGAACACTGTTTTGCTTGCCTTGTCAATAAGCTGATTTAAAATAGCAAAATTTCATTGGGGTATATAAAAGTCTTAATTGTCCAAGTATCTGTGATCCTGTATATTTTGTTGAGTCCTACATATTATAAATGGAATTTTGAATTGTTTGGGATAGAGGAGAAAAAATACAGTGATGGGTGGAAATTATCAATCTTTCAATTACATAATTTTGAAATCATTTAAAATATATTTCTATGTAGTATTTATGGTGCTTTAACTGTACAGAATAGAACTTGAAGGAAACATGCTTTTCAATTTTGCCGCTGCCACTCACATTTTCCCCATTATGTCTTGATTATTTTCAGTATTGAAGAAGAATATGTCCCAAAAGAGGGGGATGAGGTGACATACCAGGTTGTACACGTACCTCCAAAGAACGAGAAGTTCCAGGCTGTGCACGTACATATCACAAATCTAGTGCAAGGAGTTACACATGAAAAATGGGACACTCCGCCTGCCAGTCCACAGACTTCTCCCAATAAGTGACCACAGCTCTCCACGGACAGTGCAGCAAAACCATGCCCATAGGTGTGAATGGGGGTTGACATGCTTTATGTTTTCAAAGAAATATATATTAAGGACCATTTTTTGATATCGATCTTGATTTTTGTTAAATGAAAATCTCCACGTTTTCTATGATAAATGTAGATGACTGAAAGGTACTAGTAGTATTTCAGTGCAGATTTGTACTGTGGATGAACTGATTATCTGTGGATTCTGGCCCCAATATCTTCTTTGTGTCAGGCGTATTGGTCGGCAGTGATTTTTTAGGTAGGATATTTCAAATAAGGTTTTTGTCATAAATGATAAAATATGTGGTGATGGGGCTTATTATTTTATAGAAATAAAATTGTAGTTTATTTCATCTGTAGTCCTGTGAAACTTTCACTTATTTGGTGACTTTTTAGGATAAAGTGTTGAAACCATCATGAAGACTTGTTTTTAGACACTTGAATCAACACCCATTTTCCTTGGAAAAAAGCCTGAAAGAGTCATCCCATTCACATTTGATGCACATGTTATGTGACAATCTGCACTGAAAATATATCAGTGTAATTCCATAGCCTGACCATCTTAGTTTGTAGATTAGGATTTCCTGTAAAACTTTATGGAAAATGGAAAGGAAACCCTGTCTGCTCATGCATCTCTTGCCCCCCCCTTCACTCTCCTTTCAACACGCACACACACTGTGGCTTGTTGTCTTCGTCTTTCCTTTGAATTTGTCTTTCTTCAAAAAGGTCCACTGGTGACATGGAATGCAGAAAAAGGGTAATTACATAATCCCAAGTTTACATTTGAATAAAGACAAATTATATTTGTTTAATTTTTTTTTTTTTTTGCTTTGTAGTGCAATTGTGTTTAAAAGAAAACCTTTGGATCAAACGTGGAGTAAAAGACTGAAGGGTGAAGTTATGCACTTAATTAAGAAAGCAAATCACCTGTTTAGATGAAAAATAAGATGTGTGAAATGGAATATTTGGAATAAAGATTGCTTGATGGCAGTAATGAATTAGTTTGGCTTTTAGGACCTGAAGAGTCTTCAAACTCTTTGAATATGTTATTTGAAAATAACTATTCATTCATGTTTGCTAGACTGTATTGATAAAACAAAGTTATTGTTGACTTACTGACTAGATAACAAGTGTCATTCACTGTTTCAATCAAAAAGCTATGAACATCTGCAATAATTGACCAAGAATAACTTTCTTTTATCATCTTATCTAGAGACCATAAAAGACATTTTTCATTCTTTTGATATTCAATGTCATTTTATAACAAGTTAGACAGAAGTAACAATTGTAGGAGGTGTGGTACAAAGATCTCATGATTATGTAGAATAACAGCCTATAGGTTGGAACTAGGACCCACTAAACTAGCGAGTCCTTGTTTGGAAGCAAAAGGCTATACGGTAATTACTCACAAAAGCCATGGCATGTATTCATTTTATTCTCCAAAAATTTACTTTGTCAGGTAATACTTACAATGTTGATTCAGAAGTTTTAAACAGTGTGTTGGTTTTGTGTCAGAAAGTGCCTATTTCTAAATCAGAAGTAAAATGATAGATTTTGACAAAGTAAATTATTGGAAAGAGTGAGATCTTTGGAAATTTCAAGTAAAAAGCCATCCATTAGAGGGTATTATAGGTATCTTTTTGCTCTCAAGCTCTTGGTGAACTTCAACAAGATAATTGTTTATTAAAACTAATCAAATCAGAGATTTGACTCTAGTGCAGAGACAGGATTTTTCATTCAGAATATGTGTAACAGGGGGACATTGTGCCATATTTACAAATTTCAATGTGAGAAAACACTGTAAGGGGTTTCCAACACAGATTATATAGCAACATGATGGGCAGTGTTGCCATTTCTGTTGAGTAAAGACTTTGAATTCCCCATCTTTATCTGTAATTAGCCAGTAATCATCCAAACTGACAGCTATTAATAATGAACTGTAGTAAATGATGCTGGATATTTTGGTTTACCAGTACTGTAATGTGTAAAAGTGTAAAAATATTCTTAAAGAGTGCTCTAAACTTTTTTCTTGAATTAAAGCTGAAGATATGCCATATATTCAAAAGTAATTGGTCTCCATCACTGAGGATATAGAAGTACATTATTTTAGAATTTAAGCTTAAGATATGCCATATTTCTAAAATGAAATGTTGACAACCTGAATTTACACTTAACTGCTTTGTTTTGAGAAAAGTGTTATTTATTCAAAACAAAGGAAGAATCACTGTCACATATGATTTGTTGGCCAGAACTTATAGTTTGGCACCAAGACCCCCCCCCCCTTACCCAACAGGTGTGCTATACCACAAGTACAAGACCCATTTCTTTACTTGAAACTTTATCTTTATCTGATTAATCTATAAGTAAAGGCATTTTATTTGTAAAAGGCCTTGGTGAAACAGGATAGCGCAATAATTCTTCTTGTCAGTGGTGATATTTTGTAGTAGAGATACTATAAGATACTCTCTCCATTACATCTACCTTTCAGTAAATATGTTTATATTTATTATAGTAGAATGAATAGTCTATAATGTGTGGTATATAAGTAAGTTATCCATGTAATATGATGTCAATATTCAAATATGGGATCAGACCTCTGTTGTTTGTATTGATACGAAGATGATTCGAATGACTTAAAGTCAATTTAGGTAATATTCTTGGCTTCTGTCCACTTTGTATTGTACCAAGCCTGTACATGTTGGAATCGTTAAAAAATCTGTAATTCTGTATATGCGTAGACTGTTATATAAATCAAAAAATTGATTTGGCTCATATGATTTTGTATTTGACAGTTTCCACTTGAATTACTGCAGTAGCTTTACTGCATATTTTTATAGAGATAACTTGTTAAGGAATGTATTAAAAGGACAAGTTTAAGCCAATTAAGTTGTTATGTTTCTCTCTCAAGAAAAGGATAAACCTGCATCAAAGCATTTAGTGCTTTGCAACAAAACAGGAAAACATAAACATAATGCCCTAAAACCTGCTTATTAACTTATGAACATATGAACTAAGTTATCACTTGCAAATGGAGATAGGAGAAAAAAGGAAATTATGTTTGACAAATTTTATTATTATAGACTTCCAGCTCAGGAGTTGGTAAGGTATGATTGCAAGCAAAAAGGTTTTAAGACACCTAACACATTGGGGTGGCTATGCATGATGCAGTGTGATTCTGTTAGTTGTGATAAGTAATGTTTATCTCTCCTAATGCAATGAGGTTAGTTTCCATGGGAGTAGCATGCAGTGTTATTCTGTTAGTTGTGCTCAGTAATAGTTATCATGCCTTTAGCTACTTACTTGATCCTATGCTGAAATATTCTACAAATACAGATCTGTTTAAAAGGCACTTTTCTATGCAGTCCTTATCAACAAATCATTGTTGATGTCCTAATTCTAGTAAAAAGTCTGGTGACGTGTACTTGCTCTTGTGATTGATTTCTTTATATTTTTATAGCACAGGGAACTTGTTTTGCATAACTGGACATCCCTTGGTGATTACATTCAGTATAATATAGCAATTTTACAGTGATTAATCTCATCTTGAAAGATATTTGAACATTAATGAGAATTTGTTGATTAATCATTTCTGTGGTCTGGCAGTTGCAGATGCAAATTTTCAGCTACAGGTTAATAGCTATTTACTGCTAAACAACAAACAAAACAAAACAAAAAAGTAAAATACAGGTAAATGTTCTTTAAAACATAAAATGCCTTTCTTTTAAAAATAAGTTTATTATAAACCAAAGACCTCTCACATAGTTCGCTACACTTAGTCAAATGAGACAAAAACATACCACACTATACAAAATATTATAATATTTCTCTAAGCATTCCTTCAAAGACACAAAAACTTATCCCTCGTTTACAACAATGCTTTCTGACTACAAAAATCCCCAACTTTTGTCACTTTTGAATGTTAATTTGAATATCAGAGATGTAAGACAAATTCTACCAAAACCATTTATCCACATGTGCTGCATACATTTTGGTTGGTTAAGAAAATGAAGTATAATTCACAATTTTTCATGGAAAAACACTATGCACAAAACCTGAAATGTACCAGTTTGAGCATAAATTACCCCCAACAAATACCTACAGCTTATTGCACAGAGAGAAAAAAGTTCAGTAAAAATATGAGAAAGTCAAAAATACCAATATCTAATTTCATCTTTTGGATCATAGCAGGAATAAAGCTTTGTTTAAAGCAGCGAAAATAAGATTTTTCCTGAGTTGCCCACAATATATTGTTCTGCAAGATGTAAATGGAGTTTACAATTCCCTTTGAATATCACACCAATGTCTAGCCCTTAAAGAAAAGTTCCATCAGCTGTTGTCTTGTATCCTCTGGACTTTTGACTGAATGTCCAACAGTGCGAGGATCCATGAAAATCTCATAGTCATTTTCACCCTTGAAAATAATAATAATAAACATCAAAAGAGTGTATAAATACTGACTCCTTGGATTTATTCTTTACAATAGAAGTAAAAACCACTCTCATAAAAAAAGTAAAAGATGGACCTCATGTGCCTCTTAATTTTTGGGACAGAAACATAATTATTTAAAAGCCATATCAAAAGAATCTTCCTTTCTTCCAGTGGCACCAGAAGAACATCAAGTCCTTACTTACTGGGTTAGTCTTGTCTCCAAAGAAGTGGATTACTTTAAAGTTATCCCCGGCAATATGGTTGAGGCAGTATCTCTTATCCCACCCTTCCGGGAAGACATCAAAGCTGATTTGACCACCTAAAAATATTTATGTTTATAATATAAAAAAATGCTAAAAATGTAAAAAATAAATATAGATAAATACATATACACAAAATGAACATTATGGAATTTAATAATTGGCCATATATAAACAATTGTTTAATTTCAAAATATAATTATGAAGCACAGGCACATATGCTTTCAAAATATTTTTGTGACATGAAATACAAAATACAGCTCTGTCTCCTTACCTATAGAATAAACTAATCCATTATCTGGAAACTGTTTTCGAAGATCTTCAACAAATTGTTTTCGTATATTGTGTACCTAAAATGGATAGAAGTCTGATATATGGAGAAGATTGTGAAAGTCAAAAACTGGCTAGAAAGAAAGAAAGAAAGGGTAAGGCAGTATCAGCACAAACTTTATTGGAAAGCTATGCATGTCATACTTGGCATTGATCTCTAATAAAATCAAAATTAAGTTTGGAGGAGAACTTTTTCAGTTGTGTTATGCATCAAGAGTAAAGCTGAAGTAATTTGTCCTCAAATTTTAATGAACAACCATTCACCTAGACAGCCTCAATATCTGAGGAAGATCCTCTAGAGAGAATCATAAAAATACTGTGGGTGCACAACATAAAATTACTGCCTTGTTCTTAAAAGGAGGGTTACCTTATCATATTCCCCAAACTGGTCCCTCTCAGCCTGAGAGCAGCTTCTTCCCACTGGACATACATTGATAAGACCACTGCGGAACTCAATAAATGTGCCCCTTCAAATATTAATGATTTCATTTAATTTTCAGTAGCTGTGCATTTTCTTTCTCTCAATAGCTTCAAATGACTGTTTTGAAGTATTTGAAAATTAAACACAACTGCAGTAATTCAGACTAATAAAACCACTTAAACAGAATTATTAAATATATCATACAGACTCTAGTAACTAAAAACCAAAATATTCCATATAACCTTTTAGCTGGAAGTTCAATTTTAGACATGTATCCTAGTGCATAGTTGATGAATTTCTGTAATTTTTCCTCTCCCATGTAATTCTGTATACTCTATAAAATACAAAAGAAAAAAGGACTTCAAACCTAGAGTTTTTTTCACAGTATTTTCATAAACATGTACTCCATCCTATACCAACCTGTTTCATTCTAATACAAATTTCAAATTAAAACACAACATCCACTCTGAGGTAATTAAACAAGCAAATGCAGCAAATATTTCCAATTGGAAACTCTCTGAGCTAATCACATGTGCATACAGTTGCTTGGCTTTGGTAACTTAAGGTCAAATGTTTGTCAGAATATTTTCAATAACACAAAAAAAATCAAAATATTCTGATACTTGCCTCTTTTGCAATAAGCTGCCCATTCTTATGAGCCACAAGTCCATTTTCAGAGAAAACATATTCAAACTTCTTGATTACTACAAAAGAAATAAACATTGGCTAATCAGTTATAATTAAAGCTTTTTTATTGTACTGCTTAAAAGTAGTACAATATTTTTAAAACTTAACCCTTTTCCCCAGATGCAGATTCCTACACATTTTATATTAAAGGTGGGCAGGCATTAAGTCAGCTGAACAATCAGTTGTACAGGTGGTACAAACAGGTGGCAGTGAGCAAGTTGATGTCTATATAAATAATTGATATATAATGCATATACCTTGAAATACCCATATATAATTCACATCGTACTACTGTCAACATTCTTTAGAAATTGAGAAATGAGAAATAAATGTATTTGATTAAGCTTAATTCCTATACTCCAAAATGTTATTCATTTGACCAATCCATTTACTATGACTTTAATGGAACTGAAGGTATAGAGCTATTTGGATTTACCAATATTACATATTCAAGATGACAAAAATGTGGGCTATCAAAAATTAGAATTGTTAGGTATTATGAAAAAGAAACAGGAAAAAAAGAATATAATTTTGAAATCATAATGTTCATGAAGTAAAAACTGACAACATTTTCAACCCTTTGTATCCCAAAAAGACTTAATTATTTAACTGTATATTAACCTGACTCCCTTACTTCACAATCAAAATGAAAAAATAAGCCTTTTACTGTTCATCAAGATTAATTTTTTAAAAAGTTAATGCATTTACCATCTTCCTCTGATTTCCCAAGTTGTTCTGATATTTTACTAAGGTCTGATCCACCAACTAATCCAACAACCACCTTCTTATCCAGCTGTTCCATGAAAGTTTCCATCTCAGGGGTAATTTTCTGAAAGGAAATAATAATAATAATAATAATAATAATATAATATGCTGAGGGGCTAAAACTAAGAAATTACCAAGCATGTGATAGGAATTATATTGATGGCATAATGTATAACATACTGTTTACGTGCCATTAATATCAATTTTTCCTTTTAAATAAGAATTTTGGACATTAAACAGTTGAAAGGTAGCTAGGGGGCCAAAACATGCAGTGGGCGTGGCAAGGCAGTGTAATTAACGTTACTCAGTATCTATATTCCGGTGCGAGAGGAATGATAGTCCGGGAATGGAAGTCCGGGGACCCATATGATTAGTACAGGGTAGGGTTAGTCGTAGTATAAGGGTTAGTATATGGGACAAATGCCACGCACCTGTATAAAGAAATGGGCTACAGTACATGTACTGTTCCTGGCGGACTACCATTCCTGTCAAACTGGCCATTAAAAAATCGCACTGCTTAATTTCAACAAGATTATGATGGCATAGCATGGTTAAATTGTAACTTTTGCATCTGCTCTAATTTTATATCATTTCCTTAAGTGGTCACTGGTTTTTTTACAGTTAGTCGTTATAAATGTTACGTAATTTTCTTCACGGATCTTTCTGATGAAACCTTTATTACATTTGTGCCTACTGACTCAGCATGTCAACCATGTTTTAACTTGCAGATCTAAATGAAAACAAAAATGAAAATGGGCACTAATTTACATGTTGATTTACCTGAACATAAAGTAATTATACGCCTTAATTTTACCTTTCTGGGAGCTGTAAGTGTCCCATCTACATCGAATAAACAAAGCGTGGACGTGTCACGGGCCGCCATCCTGTTGAATGTAAACAATCCGTCAGATGTCTCTAGTATCGAGGAGTTAGCATTCTGTACTCCTTGTAGTAAAGAGTTTTGTTCAGCTCGGTGCCAGCTTTCGCAGTTACACGGTTTTCACATTTCAGCACATAGTTTGATTAACTATTCAAGCACATTAGATTGCGGAAATACAATCCACATATGAAGAAGATGTCTGAAAAAGAAAGAGACGCTGTGAAAGATTTGAAACATTAGCGAAAGGGGGATCCCTAGGACTATGTCAAAATGAAGGGGGAGGTGGTCGCTCTTGCCAGGCGACATGTCAGGTTTACTACGACAGCTGGTCTGTTGCTGGTCGCCTCTGTCTGTCTGTACAGGTAAGTTGCACTGATCACTAAGAAGTGACTATTTTAGAATACTAGTCAAGTAGGAGGCAGATATTTAGGCTGGTTTGGGTGGGAAATAGTACTAGTACTGGTGTTTGCACTCGGCCTCAACAAAAGAGTCAATTTCCTGAACGTTATGATACCGTTATATAATTAATATTGATTAATTTTAAGTAAGTTCAAATGTTATTGGTAAATGTGCGTTTTCAGTAGCTACTCTATTCTCTTTTCTTAATCATTTCAGTTCTGTAAAAAGAAAGATACTGTTTTATCTTTTAGGTTGATTTTTATAGCCTGGAGTTCTATAATCCCCTAAAATATAATGATGAAATTATTATACATGTATTAACTCCAGTATTCAATTTAACAAAATAAAGTGACATGAATTAATATTGAAGTCTAAAGACAATATCATTTCAGAATAAGATGAAGACTTAAATTATAATTTAAGCTACAGGTTGCATGTACTGTTGAAATAAAATTACCAATGTATCTGATATTTCTTACCCATAATGACCTATGTGTAAATTCCTTAACCCATAATTGCTGAGTATTAAATCTTTTGTAATAAGACTGTGTAAAAGTAATTATAGGGTTGAATAGAAAATGAGTATGATTTTCATCTCTTTGGTGTGCTCTGTGTAGTTTTCAAAGATCCACTGTGTATTATGGAACATAAAGAACATTAAGGTATGTCACTATAACAAGAGTCAAACATTGGGAGCTTATATCCCAGATCTAGTGGAATAAAACTCTTTGGGAAAACTGTAAAATACAAAGATGTTAAGAGATACTAGCCATCTTGAGCAGAAGCTATTATATGTAATTTATATTTATGTGAAATAAAATCTGCGACTGAATTAAAGTGTGTAGATAATGGTTTTTAGTAGTATATATATATATATATGTGTTGATATGCTTATAAAAATGTGCCTGATTACTGTCACTGTGACAGTGGTGTATTTGTTTGCAGTTAAGTGTCTTGTATCATGTTTTAGGTATATACACTGGATGATCATCCCCTGGTGCTTTATAGCAGGAATTATACCAATGTATTTTATACTGAGGTGAGTACCTGACTCTGTGGTAAGGATTGTCAAGTACGTATTACAAAGAGGAGACATGCTTCAAACAAAATAAATTATCATAGGCTCATTGGTTTTGTATCAGAATTCACACTGTCCATTCCAGTGTCAGGTTTTTATGTTTCTCTCTGAGCTCACTTTCGCTTGGTCGATTTTAGCCAAGTATAATTATATATTCTCATTTGGCAAGCAAAATGAAAGAATATTTAAGTTTTTTAAAAACTAAATAATCAGTGATGTACTGGCACTTGATATTTTGCATTTGGCTAAGATTAAGCAGCTCTTCGCTTTAAGGAATTATTAAATATATAGATATATACAGATAGATACAGTCATAAGTAACCCCCCCCCTCAACCCTCTGCCCTCTGTATGGCACAATCATCTTGGTGCCATGCACATGTTACATAGATCATCCTGCCAGACATCTGGCCAATGTATCTCAAAGGTATTTTTCTTAGAATTATAAGAAATATTGCACTAAAACATTTTGTAACTAAATAACAATTGGTCCTTACATGTTCTGCTGTGTTGTACAGCACTCAATCAAATATGAGTCATTTACAAAGTAAACTATAATACTGTGTAATGGAGGTGTTCTTTGTGCAGATTTAACATGTTTTGAACCATTTTTTATTCTGTAATCTCACATGACTTGAGTATTAACATCATTTCCTAGGATTAACTCTATCTACAGCCACTTCAAACAATTACATGGAAAACATATACCTCTGGCATTTCTCTGTTTTTTGCATAGATTTGAATTTAGTTGGTTTTTGATATCTTCTGTTTGATATATTTTGTCTCATTACTTTAGTATTTATAAGTAGAACTCTGAATATATTATTAGCAAAATTATTTCCGTAGTAACTTCAATAAAATTGCTTCATATTTAAATGACCATGGTGAAATCTTCATGTTTTAAGTCAAAATTACAATTCTGCAAGCTTACATTTAGTTCCTATGATGAAGACACATATTGGATGGGTGAATGAGATGAACATGTCTACAAAAACTGAGAGCCTTTGAATGATCACCCAGCCCATGATACTAGAGTGTAGCACACCCCACGGCGAGTAGTCACATGCGGTGTGTTTCATTATTTTTTATTTAAAATGCCCTTGGACATTATGTATGCCCCTTGTAACAGCACTAGCTGTGCTCCTAAATCACCACATAAGAAATGGATGACTTAACTACTCAATCTCTCTGTCACCACAAATTAAGAATAATAGGGCAATGTTTTTGAGTTAATTGACCCATTCAGGCTAGGA